ATGGGTATTATATCATCCCTCAATTTTATTTTAGTTTTTGAAAATTTTAAATAGATCTCGAAATAAAGTGTTCATCATTTATACTTTTTTAAAACTTAAATATGTTTTCATTCTTAGAAAAGTGAGCTAGTTTTTATTTTGATATTTTAAAAAAATTATATTTTTCATCTTTCAAAAGTTAGAATTATTGTTTTTAGTGTGATTCTTGTTAACAAGATTTTTGTATTTATCATATGGTCAAGTAATCATTTTTAATGACATAACAATATTAAATACCATGTTAGTATGCGATACTTCTAAATATTTTTATAAACACTTTAAATAAATATAATTTATCTATCTTAAAATGGATATTAAGAGTAAAAAATAATGATTTTAAGTTTTAAAAAAATAAAAATTAAAAAAATATTTTATAAAAATTGGAACTAAAATTTGTTTATTTTTTAAAAATTAAAAATAACGACTCTAAATTGTAGTGATATGAAAACATTTTTTTACAAAAGCTAAAACTAAAATATACTACTTTACATGAACTAAAAAATATATTTTAACTTTTTTTAAGAAATAATTTTACGGACTATTGAATTAATTAGAGAAATTTGACAAGTATATATTGATTTCCATAACTCAATTTTAGTCATTGTCAAAAAAAACACACACACACACTCAATTGTAGAAGATTAAAAATCAAATATTATTATTTTTAAGTTTAAAGTTTGATTATTTTTTTAAAAAAAGTTCATAAAATTACGAATATATTAGATCTAACTAATAAGATGATATAGTTAAATTTTATGTATTCTCAATATTTTTTAAGTGAACCCAAAGATATATCGAGTAAAAATTAATGACTAATCTTATGAAATACTATATTATAGTGTATATATATAAAGGGATAAATAATGCAATAATTATTTTTCTTCAAAATTTCTTTTTAACATATTTTCATATACAAATTTTATAAAATAAATTAAAATTATTTTAACTTTTTATTCAAATATTATATATAAATTAACTTTCTGCAATTTTAATTTTATACTGGGAACAAATTTTTTCTTCCAATAATAGAACAACTTCCCTAAAAAAAATTTCTAAAAAATTGTCTTTAGAATTTTATATCAGCTAAATCATATCCCTTGAAGCATAGCTAACGCCAA